TGCTCGTTGACTGTGCGGCCGTCGACTTCATCAGCGTACTCGAAGCTGTTGACGACATTCCACTTGATACACAATGCCGGTTTTGCCAAAAGTCGCTTCTTCAGCTGCTTTCGTGAGTAAAACGGGTCGGGTCGTTCAGCATCCAAGCAGTGTCGACTCTTCCTTGGACGTCCACTGCTTCGTCGCACTGGGATCTGAGCGTTCGCCTTGTTGATGTCATAGTCGCCTTGAGGCACTGATGCTGCGCGAGTGCATGTGAGCAGTACCAGCCAGACTGGTAATATCCCTTGCACTGACAGCGGTACTTTTGCGCTAGTAGCTTAATCTAAGTGGAACATTAGAAATCAGCCGATACATCGTCACTTACCTCTTGTTCGGTCCGGAGTGGACTCTCATTGCAGGGCTCAATATCGATCGACTCGTTGATTTCGACGAAGTACATCGACAAGTACTTGATCTTGATATTCACCGCCTTCTCGTCGTGAGGAATGTGACCTTGGAGGGACTTCATGTACGTCTTGGTTCGTGACGTCGTAACGGTCAGGGCGTCGGCGTTGCCAAAACAAACGTTGTACTCGCTTGAGTTGAATACGATGCCGCGCAGTCTTCGTCCATCTGCTCTTGGGTGCCATACTGGTTGGTAGTTGGTGTTGTCTTCAAGCAGCTGAGCTGCAACAAGTACTACTTCTCCAGGTATGGGGTGTAAGGCGGCGTGAACATGGCTCTGGGTAAATTCATGCGCCAGTGCTTCAGACGTTAGGAGTGCTACACATTCATGCATGCAACTTAGTAAGCCTTTGTGTGACACCATTCTGGACATACCTGGAACAGTTGAACTGAGGAAAGTTGACGTAACAGCCATCTTTTGCCTTCCAGCGCATTTCTTGATCCGCCTGTTGTGACTTTCGATGTGGTTTTGATTGGGTACGACACCACCAACTTGTGAGGCACATATGAACCACTTGGACCAGTCCTTGTGCAAGTACGAAGCCCTGAACCAGTTGGCGTAAGTCGCTTCGCCCATGTCACTCCACGCACGAAGCAAAACTCCGGATACAATAGCATGCTGGCGGGCTGAGCGGCACTCATGCATCCAACGCAAATGATGTGTGATAACTTCGTCAAAGAACGCAGGTTGGGAAAGTTTCGCCTTGTTCTCTTCAGCGAGCCGCACGAGATGTGGCCAACAAGTGAGCACCGAGACTTGGGGCCAGACAAAGCGGTAAGCATTGAGGATTGCACCACAACGGTCGATGCTTCCAAATCGAAGTTGAAGGTCACGGCCAAAGAACACGCGGGCGTACTTCTTCACAGCCTCGAACATCTTCACGTAGCTCACTTCACTTTCCGATCGAACAAACATGTACGCCCAAGGACGAAACGAATGCGCCGCAGTTTGTCTCTCCACGTGCGTTGTCCTTCCACCAAATCCCACTAAAGTCCAACGGCCGTGATGGAGCTTGTACGTCCCATCTGCGGAGGATGCAACATCGGTCCCTTGTCCGTCCATTGACGCAACAACATTGTAAAAGACCCGCCTTGACGTCACGATGAGACCCAGGGACATTTGGTCCAAGCCAGCTGCGTCTTTGAAGCTGTGCTCGAAGATGTCCAGGACAAGTGTCTTGTTCTGGTCTTCGACCGAAATGCTATCCACGTAGCATGACCGCTCGCTTCGTACCAGCCTTGGCTTGAAAAATTCTTCCTTTGTTTGGCACAAGCGGCTTGACGACCAACTTCGAATACCAGCAAAGGTAGATACAGACTTCGTCCCCGCATTGCTTCGCATGACAGTGACCCGCCGGCTTCGAATCTGGCCCCAAGTCGGCAGTCTTGGAGTACGCCAATGTCAGTGAGGTGAGGACAGCTAACGGCCCAGAACCGCCAAGGAGTAAGTTGTCAATTTCAGGCAAGAAACGAGGGTGGATCTTGGTTCTCGATGAAGTCACTGGGGCATCCAAGTTGTGGTGGCCTTTGACTTCAACAGACACGGTAGTGCCGTGAGGGGCTAAGCGGACGCGAACAGGACACTCAGTATGGCTTGTGCAACGATACATCGGCTTTGGACCATGTGGGCTTGTACTGCTGCTGAGGTAAGTGTACTTGAAGTCGTCAAAACTTTGCATCTCCACGTGGGCATCACCAATGCTCCGGCACTTCACAGACGACCCTTCCGCACTCGATCCAGACGAGTCGACTGCAAAGTCCCTGTCTTCTTCACACACCCCACCTTCAAAGTCGCCAACATGTCCGCGGTCGGAATCGCTGTCGTCGCCACGCTCACTGTTGACATCACATTCAGCCCTATCACGCTTGTTGCCGTCGCCGCCACGATTGCTCCTCCGGCCCCAGGTGTCGTCTTGAAACGTCTTGAAGCGATGGCGGTCCGAATCGTCGTCAGGGTCACGGTTTTCAATATTGCTGTCGAAGTCACATTCGCCCACGCCGCGCTCGTTGCCGTCGTCTATATCGCGGAGATCGAAGAGGTCACGGCCACGGTTGCTTGTACTTTCACGGGCAAGGTCTTGACAACGAAGGCAGTCGACATCGCCATCCTTGCTCTCGTCGTCAGGTTCGTGGTGGTAACGTTCGGCCTCGGTACGCTCGTAGTCCCCGTCGTGTTCACGGGGATGGACAGTGGGTCCACAGCCTTCGCGAGAGCGGCCAGTCCCGTTTTCTTGACTGTCACAGTCAGTGCCTTGAGACGGTGGGTGCTGATGTTGCACAGATGCAGCGCAGGCAAAGTCGTCGAGGTACGCAGCTCCGTCCATAGTTCTCCTAGAAACAGCTTGAAACGAAAATAAGGTGGTTAATCTTTGAAACCGTATGGCCAATACTTTGCGACCAATGGCAAAGTATGTGGTTAGGGGAGCGAGCATATCTAATGCATGATTAACATTAAATTTAATTGGTAGTTATATACTATTATTTGAGCGTCGTACCTTTCACTTGCCGATATGTTCCATTCACGTGCGTTTGGGCGATATAGAAATATGAAATGAGATACTTTTTGTTTGGTACATTTCACTGTCAGTGAATCTAACCATACATAAATATGAATTATTTACCTATGTTTAAGTAATGACCTCATAATCCGTGTATTATATTTATATACGTATTAAAATACTAAAAAAGAGAATATGCATATACTGTATGTGCTAAATCCAAGTATATATATTTTAGAATAATTTATAGGTATGAAATGATTT